TGTAAAAATTGAGATAAAATGTTAAAAATTTAGGAGACAAAAAATATTTACCTTAAAAATACCTCATTTAACTTTTTAAGACTGCAAAGCTAATTTTGGATTATTTATTTTGCTAATGTTTATACTAAAAACATATTAATTATTAAAACAAATATACTTTTGAAAACAAATCTTAAACAACATCAATATTAAAATAAATATAATATTCGGAATGAATAACATTACAACAAACAGTGTTATTACGTATGTGATATATTGAAGAACCAATAATATTGATCGATGCAGCCGCATACCTACAGCGCCCACCGCTGGAATATTCCACATAGGGAACATACATTCCGATTGGATATTAAATAATGAGAAACGTTCACAAAACGGCTCGCTCGGCCCGCGGTTTCGCTTGTAACATTCCGCCGAATGCGGTCCTTTTGTGGATGCCACCCCGATTGACATCCACGCCGATGCGCATCGACGCAGTCCGCGAACAAAAGGTCACAATAACACGCTTGCAGCCGTGGCGCTCACACCATCCACCCAACAATGGAGCCCGCTATTAAATCGACCCTTCGTGAAAATGCACACAGAGGCCGGAGTGAATTAATTTTCATGTAGCCGTTGACCGTTCCACGCGTGAGCAATCTCTGAAAACGGACACTGAGCACTTTATTACACTTAATATGTTTTTTTTTCATCACCGGCTAGCGCTCGGTGACTAACGTCGTGTATATAAAAAAAAACATCGATCGAATAAAATAGGCATAGAAAACTTAGGTATTTTCCTTTTGAATTTAAAAATAGTAATTTTTAAAAGAAATCGACAAAAAATATTGTGCAAAAATTAGTTGACAAAACTTTTTGAAAGAAACAAAGATTATAAAAAGTGCGTAATATAACCAAAACTGACACGTGTATGTATTAATAAAGTTATAGTAATATTTACGATTAATTAATTTTATGTAATAAAAATATAATTTAATTCCTCACCCAAGCCCAACACAAAATATGTACATGAATATTTCTTGCATTGAGTCAGAATAATAGGCAGACGAAAATAGAGCTGAGGTATCGATGTTCAGTCGTAGGAAAGCGTCTTTAGTACAGTTCAATGCAAAATCGCACACAATAGGTAATCCGCTAAACGCTTGAGTCCTTACACGTGTCGTTCCAAAAGAACAGATTTATTTTTACGTGAAATTTTGTCATGAAGATTTCATATAGTAAAATATAATAAATAAAACATAAAAGATACGTAAAAGACGACATTTTGCTACTAATGTTTTATATAATAACACAAAGGGAGCCTTTCTATACTAAAGGGTGATATAATTAATTTTATGATAAGATTCCAAATTTTAATAAATTGGTAAAGTGTATAATCCAGTAATTGTTATATATTAGATTGTTCAAAAATAAGGGATTTAGCAGTGATTCTATTATAGATACTGGGTTTGGCATACAAATGCAACGACGGCCAAAGTTTCTATGATTATATCGAGATAATTTATCGAGGTTTTTATAAAATTAGAAAAATACAAACGATTCGTTATAATTAGGCACTTCATTTTTCGTCGGTAGTTGAACGCAAACTCAAGATGGCTTATTTCTTTCCAAAAAATATTTCTAAATACTGTTAAGAATTCAGAATAAGGAAATATATCCCACATACCACCTTTTTCACAACTATTTATGGCGTTAAAATTATCTGTACAATTATGTAATAATTGACACAATGAAAGAAGATCAGTTCATAACAATCTCTGTAAAATTAAATTATTTACTATATTTAAAATATAGTAAATGATTTAATTTTACATCCTTATATTTGAACCCTATTGCAGTGAATTCTAGCAATTTCAATTGTAAGGATGCATGTACAGCTTAGATTCATCCTAAATAGAAATAGGTATTATATTTATGGATATGACATTCTTTGTCTTAATTTTTGATTGTTTCATTTAATCTAATACTATTAAACGAGCAATTCTTGCATATATATATATAATTGGAATCTCGGAAACGGCTCCAGCGATTGTCATGAAATTTAGTTCGTGCGTAGATTCGGGGGCGAAAAATCGATATTTTCCTTTTTAGAAAATGTCCTTTTATCCCTGTTTTCAGGAAATGAAAAATATCATTCGAATATGACGGTAAATTTCACCGAAACAAAAATTTAAATTCTTTATAGTGCTAATTAATCTACTTAAGATTGAACATTATAATATGTAGAAAAAGTACGAAAAGATTATCGCCGCTATGGGAATCGAACTCACGTCTTCGGCATTCGCGGCCTGACGCTTTAAACACTAAGCTAAACGGCTGATTGCCTCACTGACGCAAAATCTTAACGTCTTTTATCTGCATTGGTTTTTAGCATTTGAAGCAATGCTTGGCGCATCCATTATTATATCCTTTCCAGCATACAAACAATTGCGAATATCGTTTTACAACGATAATTCGAACGAGAGGTGTCGCCATCGCTTTTTAGAAAATTAAATTGTTTATAGTGCTAATCTTTGCACTTAAAATTGAACATTAAAATATGTAGAAAAAGTAGTAAAATATTGTCGCCGCTGTGGGAATCGAACGCACGTCTTCGGCATTCGCGGCCTGAAACGTTTAAACACTAAGCTAAACGGCTGATTGCCACACCGACGAAAATCTTAACTTCTTTTATCTACATTGGTTTTTAGTATTTGAGTTGTTTCTTGATCACTAAATAATAAAAAATTTGCCCCGCTTGGCACCAAACATCACAAAATAGTAATCTGAATGTTGGCGAAATATTTTATAAAAATCGGTCCAGCCATTTTTAAGTCCATATGAAGCACGCGTATTTTTTAACAATCACCAGCTGCTTTTGCTTAATTTGGGTACATTTGTCTGTATTGTCATCCAATCATTGCCTGTAAAAAATGTAGTAATGATTGGATGTACTGTTAAATAATATTTAGTGAATAAACAATTTTTCGGTTTCAATAAAATTCGCAAGAATAATTTTTTGTATGTTTTATACACAGATAATTATTCCAGATCTGTGTGTTTCTTATCAGTGAGGTGATACACGTTGCCGGTCGTAAAAACTTAGCCAATACACATAACACTACGATTGTGCCAATCGCACCAAAGTGGGATAAAGACAGTTGGATATTGATGACGTTTTGTTAAATTTCTTGAGAGAAATTCATTTATTTAAACAGTATTTTCATAATTTGCTAAAACTCGTAGTAGGAAAATTAATTATCTGTCAATATTGGTAAACGAAATAAGTTACACAGTGCAAATAGACACTTGTAAAATCAACAAAATGAATAAATTGCTTCAATACAGAACTAACGAATTTAAAAATAACAGCGAGGGTATTACAGGGAATTTGTCCAAGCTTGTTTGTAAGTACATTTTTCAATATCCCCGGATAAGCAAGGATGAGTTGTCATAGAGACCAACTGGATCCTATTGAACAGATTTTCCCTCATCCAATATTGTGAATTGAATAGTTTATTCTACAAACTCGAGTTAAGAGCTACTTTGAAGTGCTGCATGAGTATATTTTGCTGGATAATATCACTCCCGGTACAATAGACCTATCTGTCTATCACATTAGGCAATATATAATATTTTATTTAAGTTAAGTTTTGTGTTGATGGTTCTATTCGCGAATTTAAAAAAAATACGCCTTGGAGATTTAAGTAATCCTGGCAATTTAAGTAATCTATGTTTATGTTAAAAATACACAGTGTTTTGGAAATAATTAAAACTAATTTTTTAACTCTTCAATAAAGTATTTGTTCCTGTATTATCTGATATCATAGGCGAAAAACTTCTCTTTACAATCATAAATAACATCTATTTAAATGATATTTCGACATGAAAGTATCCCTCTGATTCTGTTATTAGGGAAAACATAAATTAAATTGCAATAAAAGAAAAGGCAGTAATAATCCGGGCTTATCTAGAACCTTCGGTCCAAACACGATAACAAAAAATAAAACAGTAAAGAGCGAATTATAAGAATTTTCTCCCTGAAAATGAAAACACGGGCACAGATTATAAAATGCAAAACAATCATCGCATTGAAGCGGTAGGTGGCGGAGCGAAGCGAATACGCAAAGAAACAAATTATCTCTATCTGGCTAATTGTTGGCGGATCAAAGTGGGGTAGGCCGCGCTCTAGGTAAAACCGGGCTGTTATATTTATATTTTTAGCGGCAGGTAATAAATGTGGGATGAGGTGGGGATGGCCACGGGCGCTACTCGCAATTATTGTTATTACAAAGAGATTGCCGCTGAGCTGGCTCAGACGGAACTCGAGAGTTTTTCGTGGAAATTTAACTCAACGAACCATAATTGCATGTACATTTTGTTTTGATATCATAAAGCGAACCGTGCAATTTACTATAATTTGCACGGATTACACGAGCAATTACGTTACGAAGAAACGTGAGCGCACTTTAAAATGAATAAACAAAACCAAGAACTCAATCCAATATACTAGCCGTGATAGCTCATTGTCCGGGCGCTCGCTTCTTATTCCGAGCAACCTGAGTTCTGTCCCCGTTGCCGGCACCAATGAAATTCTAGATTTAAGGGCTGAATTATCACGTGCTCAGCGGTGAAGGTAAAAATCTAAAAATATTTCAAGATATGTGAAGTCCGCCAATCCGCAGTAAAGCCGCGTGGTGGTCTATGTCAGTTTTAGAATTATTAATTTTGTGTCCGAATTAATTATTCTAAAGACGATTTATATGTCCAACGGTGGACTTAAACGTTCGTAATTGTCGTTAAACGTTCGTAAATTTTCGTCAAATCGTCTGTCCTAATAAATTTAAATTAATGGTTCCTTCGAAGTAAATTATAATTCCATTGAAGGATGATAAGAGTTATCTCGTTTTGTTTCTTTTAACTATCTCAAGTTTTTTTTCTATTCCTATCGGTATTATTCATATGAAAGTATTTATTTTTTGGGAGAGAGAAGAAAATCAACTAAAGATCAACCAACTTACCTATGAACACGAAGATCTGATGGTGGGCATATCGAAGCAGCATCGATATGGAGACAGTCTGCGAGACAAAAAAAAATTATCATAAAAGGCAACCGAAATTAAGTGTATATTTTCTTGTAAAAAACTTGAAAGTTAATGTTTGAATTTTAAGGTACGGAAAGAATTGAACAACATATGGATACGTATAATCAAATGAGAAACGTTACTCCAATCTCGGCCATTTTACTGATGACTCAAATAACACATCCTACACAAGGAAACATTTAGAGAGGCCGATCGCACTGTTACTTAAATGGATTCAATCTGCACTAAGCGTTTCATTAATGAAATTCAATCGCGGCGAAGCGGCACGGGGAGCAAATGATGTGGCGAAAAGATTGATAGCGGCCCTCGTGAGCGATACACCCTACCTCCTCGCACTTGCCCTTGCCACTTATTTAGGGATGCAGCCTGCGAAGCCTAAAACAATTGGGTAATAGGCTCACAATCAAAAAACAAGTTTAGTTGTGTTAGCTGGCTTTGTGCGGTCAAACCTTATGATCGTTGAAGGGGGGAGAACAAACTATGTCTGTGAGTATGACTATGTATATGGTAAAGTAAAGTAACAGCCTATACAAGGAAAAAGGCCTTTGTATACCGCTGACCACGTGATAAGTCAGCATTATAAAGTTAACAATTTCATTAGAGCCGGCACCGGGGATCGAACTCGGGCTGCTCGATTATGTTAAATTAAAGGAGAGCATTCGGACACTGAGCTATCACGACTGTATAATTATTACAAATATTAATTTACTTATTTAGTTTTAACTCTGTGAGCCCTCGTCGTACAATCGGGTAGAAAATGCAAATTGTAGTGCCCGAGGCTTACCCATGGTTTATGACTGAATTTTTAAAATGACAAGCAAGGCAAGTTGAAAATAAACCGACCGGGCCAAAACTTAAAATAGTATTTGCATTTGCTCGGTCGAATAGGATTATTTTTATAAAAAAATTAAAAAAGATATTTACATTAAGGGCTTCAATGCGAGCGAAGCCGCGGGCGAAAATCAAGTTAATATATATTACGAACAACGAACGCCCATGCCCTATTTAATATTCGTCCGCTTCAGAGATTAAAATCCGAAATCACTATCGACGAGCGTATGGATGAAATAAAATACCGTTGAATTTTCCAGACGAAAGCCGTACCATTTCCGACTGTTTTACAATTATTTTCTGTTTTCCGCTGCATCATTGAACCAGGTAATATATGGATCGAAGAAAAAAATTAAACAGAAATATTTTTTAATCACACATCTATTGAATTTCTTTGTTTATGTATGAACAGCAATTTTCACGAAACTGTGAAACGTATTTTAATCAAAATAAATGGTATAGTTTTGATTTAAGGTGATTTTAGAAAATGGGAAGTAAACATTGTACCAATGTCATAATGAAACTACATGGGCGACGCGTGTTATTTATTTTTGCTATCAATATAAAATTTTACTGTGGTATGGCCACACAACAGTCTTCGCTGTTGCTTGAATGGGCAGGTCCGTCCGGGGAAGTACCACGACCTCACAGAAGACCGGCATGAGGTGGAAGTGTCATACTTCTGCGTGTCGTCTAGTGAGTGAGGTAGCCGTAACCTTCTCGCATAAAAAGAATTGTTTTAAAATTTATAACACTATTTTGTTCCGTCATATTTTCAATAGGTTTCTAAATATTCGTGATACATGTTTGATTTTATTAATAACATTTTAGACGCCAACAGTCATCGCGCAAAAATCGACGAATATCATGTAACACAAACCAATTTAATTAATTACTTGTCACGTTCACGTTCTGTCTATTAACGGACGTAATTAGATTGAATTAAGTACATTTAGCGGTCACAGTGGCATACCAAAATCTACGTTAACATATACATGGCGTACCTATATAACCCAATTAGTTATCATCGATCCGGTAAAGTTTGCTAAGGTCATATCAAAATTGACAGACACTGAAAAGCTTTAACCAATAATTATTCAAGACTAATATCTCTTAATAATTTCTTTCATTTATGCAATTACACATTACTAAAATAATTTATTTTTACTGTTAAGTTTTGATTTGTATTATTTATCATCTTTGATGTGCCTCCGTTTCTTGTTAAATATCTTGTTTAGAGAAATATACAATATAGTAATTTCTCTTGTAATCATTTGTGTGTAAATCAACTAGTTATTTATTTAAATGCTATATGTTTTCCAAACCAATAAAATAAAAAAAAAAAAAGAATATCTAGTCTTGCTTAAAACAGAAACGGCTTAACTCGTCGCTAACGGTAACCGTTGCACCTCATCACGTAGGGTATGGAGGCATGTGAGCAAAGAGTTACGACTATTTTCGTCGTTCTACGTCGGTGCTACGAGCAAGCGTAGCGTACAATGCAACGTCCGTCGCCCAATGGGCCGTGTATAATCCCACAGGCCGTAGGCTAGTTAGTTTTTTCAGTGGCCGTTAAATATACCGGGCGAGGGCAGCGAATCGATCGTCCTACGGGTTTATATAGAATGCCTCCGCGGCTAATATATTCGTCGCTAACTAACCCGCAGCGGCCAAACAGCGATCCGTCAACTGTCTACGAAAATTTCGATCATAATGTTTACTTGATTTTTATCGAGGGAGAAAAATATTAAAGTGTCGATTTATAAAAAAAACACAACATAGAACAAAGCACCTGTGTTTTTTTTAAGTTCGCCTTTAAAACACAGTATCACAGAATCTTCCTTATGAAGAGATGTTATATGGGAATATTATAATAAAACAAACTGTTGATAATCTACTTTAGTAACATTTTATTTTCCAAATAAGTAAATCATTTGCGTGTTTTAAAATAAAGACAAGATAAAACTATAAAGACACACACATGACTACCCACAGACTACATTTGTATTTTACCCACAGGATCCATATGTTGAAATTGAAAAAGAGTGCATATTATATGGATCCTTGAATATTGTGAAGTGTCTTAATAAATCATCACTTTTTGCCCCATTCCGATTAACGAATTTACGAACCAACACTACATTTTCACATTACTAACATGACTGAAGTAGGAAAATTATAGTGTATGTATAATATATATAATATATATGAGCTAATAAATACTTATTTCTTCATTATGTTTCTTACTTGAATTGTTACAACAAAGCTTATCTGAGTTGTTACCACAAAGACTAATATAACCAAATTAACAGTTCATTAACAGCGTATATCCAAAGGCATAGTGTATATAAATATATATTTTATACCTATACGTGAGGTCATACATTATTTTTCCTAATTTAATTTTTAAGTTTAACTGTTTTATTACTATAAATAGAAGACCGTAGCAGACCAATAAAACCAACAAATTAATACTTCATTAGCTGCATCTATCCAAATATTTTTCCCAACCAAGCGAGCGTCCGCCGCCATTAAATAAATAAAACCCGGTAGCGAAATACCTCAAATCGATGAGCTTTGACAACTGCTACACATACGAAACCCGTATATACGTTAGGCAATACGTTCGCCGTTTGACAATTGATTAATGCAATATCTCTGCGTCACGAAGTCGGAATATGGGATTAGCGTGGGCGTGGGTGACGGTGCTCGCATACCCTGCTTTGATGCGAATCTGGCTCGGCATCCGATCCGATAGTTTCGCGATGTAACCGGTTATATAATAGAACCGGTTAATGCCCGAAAACACGCGGTGAAATTTAACGGTACAAAAACTATTGTTTTGCATTACTCAGTGCAGACGCGTGCGCTCCATACAAGCAAAAAAAAGTTTTTTAACAAAAAAAGGTCCGACTTCAAAAAACTCTAAAAAGTAACAAACAGCCTACACATGTCCCACTGCTGGGCAAAGGCCTCCTCTATACAGAGGGTATTAGGGCATAGTCCACCACGCGACCCCACTGCGGATTGGCGAACTTCACATATCTTCGAAATATTTTTTTTTTGTTATTATTTCGAAAATATGCAGGTTTCCTCACGATGTTTTCCTTCACCGCGGAGTACGTGATAAGTCAGCACTTAAAGTTAAAAACTTCATTGGTGCCGGCACCGGAAATCGAACTCAGGTTGCTCGAGTATATTGAATTAAAGGCGAGCGCCCGGACACTGAGCTATCACGGCTCTCTAAAAAACTCTATTAACACTAACAAATTTAAAATAATACTAAATCTAATATACTCGTAATCAAATCTTGAAAATCTAACCTATATAACGAAACACAACAAAATTTAACACTTTTTGGGGTCGGTTTTTATTTGTTGTCAAACTGTTGTTATTTGTTAATGATAATTTTTCTTCAACTCTTGACTAATTCGACTTTCTATGTTTGAGTCGAGTTGGTTAGTTTTTTCTTTAATGCATACCCTGTCTGAAATATCTGTGCACGGCACTGGTGCAGTGCATATCTTGCATTTCAGTGTCAAAGTCAAGACTTCTTTATTTAATATAGGCTTAATTTAAGCTCTTGTTGAACGTAAAAAAAACCACCGGAGCACTAAACTAGACCTGCCGGCAAGAAACTCTGCGGTCTTGTTATCTCTTTTTTTAATGATACAAGTATAATAACTTATTAACACTATAATTGGCCCTTGTTTTTTAATTAAGTGTAGCCTACAAAACTGACTGCACAAATGAAATTATACAAGTACCGGGCGGATAACTTAAGAGTCTTGAATATGAACTATATAAAATATAAAACATTGTTCTTTGTTTATAAAATTATATCAAAACTCATTATACATTCCAACAAAACATTGTCCACGTCTTTTTCTGGTCGTATACGATCTATGGCTCCATGGATAAGAAGCTCAAAGTAATATATGTAAACCTTCCACCAAGCCGATCGGTCTGGCAGTATAGAAGTAAATGCGCTGACACGCCATCTAGTGATGACTGTTAGTAAAATGGAGGACAAAAAACCTCCCATGAAAATCACTGATGTAACAAATTTCACGGTGAAAGAGTGAACGGTATAGAAGTTCATCAATCAACTATAAGATCGCTACGAAGCGATAAGGACGCCAA